ACAAAGGCCGCAGGGACCCATTGAAACCCAGCATTGAAATACATACATCGCGCATCAGCTGGTCGGCATGTATTGATTCTGGGCGGTCAGTCTATGCGCTTATGTCGGTCAGCGCGCGGGGGCGGTCGTGGTCAGTGGGTGTATATATCGAGGACATGGCTTGCACATCGGGAAGGAATCAAATCATCGTTTGCTGAAGAATTGAATTATATGATGAGCTTCATGTGTCAGACTTGTCTAATGATAAAAAACCCTCCCCACCTCCATCGAAACATACTACTGTTCATCCAATGGCTGTAGTCAGAGACGGTCTCTGATGTAGTTTTGCTTTCAACTGACCACATGCGTGTATTAGTCCATATGTCCCGCGGGGGCTTAAAGGGGTTTATATTTAGCTATGGGGAGGCAACACAGTCCACTGTCGGAAAGTGGATCTAAGATTAATTTGCTTAGCACTACATGTATGAAGCTGATACAATATCGTTTGTATTATACGGCAGATTTCAGACAGCATGGCTTCCTCAAGTATATCGCGTATTACCGTACTCCTGTTTAAGTGAAATTCATTATGACAAGTCCAGATTAGTAAATTAGTACCGTGCAAATATTTTAACTTATTATTACATACAACGTATTCGGTTATACAGCCTTAATGTCCTTAATTTATTTTCAAATAATGCAATGACAACACTTGAAGATAAAACTGACAACTTGTTGGAGAGCAATTAGTGTCGTGTGAATATTTCGTGAATTTATTTACATATGTGCTGCTATACACTTGTGAATTTCACCGTTTTATTTAGATATATATATATCTATATATATATATATATATATATATATATAGAGAGAGAGAGAGAGAGAGAGAGAGAGAGAGAGAGAGAGAGCCGAGGAGATTTTCCACTTTTATCAATGAGTGTTGATATATTTGATATCAAAAGACACGAGGCTGAGATTTTATTTATAATCCAACATCGTTCTTCCACCTTTTCAGTTTGTAGACAGTAATAAGCAGTGTCTTAGGTGTAAAAAGTACAGCTAATTGCTTCAGTGGCAGAGCCTTAGTGATGTCATTTGATTGTGCCGTCATGGTAACGATGACGTCACAATGGTCTGCAGAGCATTCTGATGCAATTTCATTGCAGCGATATCTACAATGTAGATATCGCTTGATCTTACCCAAGCAATATCTCCTTTGAGAGTCACATTTGGATGATAAATTAAGCTTGGGTGTGGGTGGGAAAAATGTGATACAGCCCTAAGACTAAGTGAAAAGGAGCCTTAGTGAGACCTGACCAGAGTCTGCGGAAAATCTAGACTTGCTTCATTTAGGATTTAGCATTACAGCAAAGGCTGGGCGGAAGGGGAAATAATATGGACTGTGAGCCTATAATACTATGTGCACTGCAACATCATACACGCCTGGCTGTCCACTGTGATACTACTGTGTATAAAATGAGGAGAATCCATGAGGCCTCAAGCTGTCACCACTGGTCAAACATCACCCTCTAGGACCGCCACCTCCCAAACTGCCGCCATGCACGCATACAGTAGTAGGTCAAACTGACCGCGCAAGCCGAACAGGTCAATGACCGCTTATTCAAATGCGCAGATTTAACAGCTGAAAGAGAAAGCGCGATCACGCGCATGGTAGCTGTGGTAGCGGGATCCACTCCCGTTACTAAGATACCATCATTTCTTATTCCAGAAACGATCGCGACTATAGGATAACGACTGTTTGCAGTAGAAACGTATATGGTTAATGACGGCACCAGGCACGTTAGCGCGAGTATCTCGGTACGGTCGTATATTTTAGTGTATGGAGACAATGACATTCAATCGATGATGTCTCACTGGGTTATATTGCGTAGTGATTTCTGGGCCTATGACTTTGCGTGCGTGCACATCCCTGACAGTGAACTTGCTCGTGTGAAGCGTAGCTGGTAGTGTTAATATGCGATCACTAGTCCGTTACAGCAGTCTCGTTATTCAGTCAGCGATATTGACAGATCGACCTTGGATGACTAGACTTTGGCAGCCTCAGTTATCCAATCATACACTGGATAATCGAGGTGTAGGCTCGTGGAAACTGGTAGTCGAAAAAAGTTTAATATATTGGTAAAACACCACTTTGTCTGCTATATACATTTTATGATGTGTTTCCGTCTGTAAGTTTATAAAAAGAAAGACAACGTATTGGCTTCTCACCTTGCAATAATGACAGTGTCTAGACTTTGTCTCCAGTTCGTGGGAATCGTCTCCTTATAAAACCAACCCTCTTAAAGTAATTCGTGTAACACGTGGCTATAAAAAACAAGTCTAGATCAAACTGGATTCCTATTTGCTTCATTTTCAAAGGATCAAAGAATATATTTAACATTATTAAGAATAGAATACAAACTATGCAAAATATTGGAAGGAGGGTGAGTATTGCTTGACATTTAAGACCTCCCCCCTTTTATGAAACTATTACAGAAGATGAGGTCTATTCAGTAAACCACGGTTATAACGAACTCGAAGGGACCGCTGATTTTAGTTCGTAATAACCGTAGTTCGTTATAAGCATATATACGACATTTATACAACAAATGGTCGGGACTGAAAAATAAGTTCGTTATACCAGTCAGTCCGTTATATGCGTGTTCATTATAACCGTAGTTTACTGTGTTTTATGATTGCATGCCCAACTTATGAAGTTTTAAGACAAATATATTTTCGTATCTAATTTTCAACATAATATTCCACTTTAATTTTCTCCAATCTTCAAATACAGAAACCTTGTCATTATGTGCAAAATATACCACAGACGACATGACCATAAGTATAAAAGCAATTGTTATTTCTATGTAACCATTGTTTCTGTACCCACATGCTATAAAAATGTATGTATACTGTTCTGGCCATTGTCCTGAAATAAACGTATTTAAACTGGAACCATGGAACATTGTCCCATATTAAAGTTCACCAGATTACTTCGATAGCCAGGGGATACCGGATCGAATCGAACAACCGACTTTCCGTTTTCCGGATGGAGTGTCTCCCCTGGTTGTAAAAGGTTTTTAAAAGTAAAGTAATATATACAAGTAAATGTCAGAGGCCATTGTCTTTATATATATATATATATATATATATATATATATATATATATATATATATATAGAGAGAGAGAGAGAGAGAGAGAGAGAGAGAGAGAGAGAGAGAGTGTATATATATAATATATATAAAATCACATGAAAATATCACATGAAATTTATCTTGAAAACCACATGCGTGAAACCCGGTATACAGCTCATCTTTGGACTTTTGTATTTTATCTCTCTCTCTCTCTCTCTCTCTCTCTCTCTCTCTCTCTCTCTCTCTCTCTCTCTCTCTCTCTCTCTGTATATCAGATTAAAGACTGTTCCAAAAAAAAGAGACAAGCAAACTGCCTGAGGACCCCTTCTTACATATTCATTGATCTCTTGTCCAGTGAAAAAAACGTGACACTTGTTAATTGCTGCTCTGGTGTTATTTTATTTCCGTCTCGCCTCCAACTACACAGTTATTTTTGTGCAAGCCTACCAACACAAACATGTCCTTATTTCACACATAGATATATATGGTCGACCCCCGTATCTATGTGTCCAATGTTCCGAGACTTCCCTGGACTTTGCGACGCCAGGAACACTCGCTGCAATAACATTAGTATAGAAACATCGAAAACTGATAGTCATAAATCCTGCACTGTGAGTCTGGAATACCCACAGACTGATGTGTGCGTTCGTGTGTGTGTGTGTGTGTGTGTGTGTGTGTGTGTGTGTGTGTGTGTGTGTGTGTGTGTGTGTGTGTGTGTGTGTGTGTTTGCGCGCGCGCGCGCGCGTGTGTGTGTGTTTGCGCGCGTGTGTTTGTGTGTGTGTGCGTGTGTGTGCGTGTCTGCGTGCGTGTGTGTGTGTGTGTGCGTTCGTGCATGCGTGTGTATGTATGTGTTCTTGAATTTATATTCTGTATTGCCTACTTTATAATACAGTCCTAAGACCAATCTTAACGCTCACCACACACGCACGCACGCATGCAGACACTCTCTCTATGATATATGACCAGTCCCCAAAGGGGAATTGTCTTACTGGGACAGACTCATTTTAATTAAAGTGTAAAATTTTACTTATTTTATCATCTCTGAATACGATCATAGATCGATGCTCATGATATCAATCACTGGTTTGTCTGGTGCAGACTCGACTCGACAGCGTCAATTGGTTTTCAGCAGCCGATTCTTGAAGTAAGATGCAGCTAACGGGACCGGGTGGTCAGGCTTTCTGACTTGGTTGATGCACGCCATCGTATCCTAATTGCATAGATCGATGCTCATGGTGTCAATCTGATCCTGACTCGGTTATTTACAGACCGCCGTCGTATAGTAGCAGTATGGCGGAGTGCGGCGTTAAACAACACACAAACACTCGCTCAGAAACCGAGAAGCGCTCGGTCTGCTAATGGCTGTGCATTGTGTGCATTGTTCACGTGATGATGCCAGAGCGTGATGGATGGGTAGACCTATGACCCCCATACAGAATAAAGCGTCAGTCTGCCCCTGTATGCCTTAGGGAATTACGAGGCTGTCGTTTATAATAGTATACAATAGCACATTTGTTGTCGTTTCTTTGCCCCTTTAATTTAATATACAGAACTAATTATGTAGGAATATGTACATTCGAAACCCCTCCCCACAACGCTGGTGGATAAATGACAAATGGTGAAGGGTGGCTCATTAGGAATGGTGCCAGGTGAAGGTTCGATTCCCAACATTGGATAGAAGCAATGATATAGATGAAAACGGTATAAACAACGTTATGGATCGACAATGTTTAATATTCGATGGGGGCTGTGGGTTTCTGTGTGGCGTGTGGGTGCCGTGCTGTATTGTGGGTGCGGCGGTGTGTTGTTGATGCGGTGGGGTATTGGGGACGGTGGGGTGTTGGGGACGGTGGGGTGTTTGGGGTGCGTTGGGGTGTTGGGGGTGCGTTGGGGTGTTTGGGGTGTTGGGGACGGTGGGGTGTTGGGGAAAGTGGGGTGTTGGGGGACGCTGGGGTGTTGGGGGTGCGTTGGGGTGTTGGGGACGGTGGGGTGTTGGGGACGGTGGGGTGTTGGGGGTGCGTTGGGGTGTTGGGGGTGCGTTGGGGTGTTGGGGGTGCGTTGGGGTGTTGGGGAAAGTGGGGTGTTGGGGGACGCTGGGGTGTTGGGGTGCGTTGGGGTGTTTGGGACGGTGGGGTGTTGGGGACGGTGGGGTGTTGGGGACGGTGGGGTGTTGGGGGTGCGTTGGGGTGTTGGGGGTGCGTTGGAGTGTTGGGGACGGTGGGATGTTGGGGGTTCGTTGGGGTGTTGGGGACGGTGGGGTGTTAGGGGTGCGTTGGGGTATTTTGGGTGCGTTGGGGTGTTTGGGACGGTGGGGTGTTGGGGGTGCGTTGGGGTGTTTGGGGACGGTGGGGTGTTGGTTGGGTGTTGGGGGTGCGTTCTGGTGTTGGGGACGGTGGGGTGTTGGGGGCGCGTTGGGGTGTTGGGGACGGTGGGGTGTTGGGGGTGCGTTGGGGTGTTGGGGACGGTGGGATGTTGGGGGTGCGTAGGGGTGCGTTGGGGACGGCGGGGCGTTGGGGACGGTGGGGTGTTGGGGGTGCGTTGGGGTGTTGGGGGACGGTGGGGTGTTGGGGGTGCGTTGGGGTGTTGGGGACGGTGGGGTGTTGGGGACGGTGGGGTGTTGGGGACGGTGGGGTGTTATGGGTGCGTTGGGGTGTTGGGGGTGCGTTGGGGTGTTGGGGAAAGTGGGGTGTTGGGGGACGCTGGGGTGTTGGGGGTGCGTTGGGGTGTTTGGGACGGTGGGGTGTTGGATGTGCGTTGGGGTGTTGGGGTGCGGTGGGGTGTTGGGGGACGGTGGGGTGTTGGGGGACGGTGGGGTGTTGGGGGTGCGTTGGGGTGTTGGGGGTGCGATGGGGTGTTGGGGGTGCGTTGTGGTGTTGGGGACGATGGGGTGTTAGGGACGGTGGGGTGTTGGGGGTGCGGTGGGGTGTTGGGGGTGCGTTGGGGTGTTGGGGACGGTGGGGTGTTGGGGGTGCGGTGGGGTGTTGGAGGTGCGTTGGGTTGTTATTTGTTGGGTCACATTCAGATTATTCAGCAACCAAGTATTTTTGTTTTGTAAAATCTGAGAACAACACTCTTAGCTCCATATATACTGACCCTCAAAACAAACGTGAACGATAGAAACATATAGAGAAGTATGTACTTTAAGAAGAGATGTTTCCAATGTGTACCACTTAATGTAAAAGTGACAATCAGCCAAGTGTTACCACAGAGTGACTTTATTCTTATCACGAAATGCTGCACATGATTTACAAACTTTACACGCTAATCCTGCATGAGACAAATGGTGCATATCGAGTCATGGATCTATAACGTCACATGTGATGTTCATGAGCATCGATTCACACAACATATTCTCATATCTTTTAAATGTGCGTAGGTCTTCATATATTAACCAACATGTATGGTATTCGCGTTTCTTTTGTTGGTGAGTATATATCACATTCATCATAGTATTAACACATTTCATTTTACAAGTCATTGTTTCGTCTTTATGAGTAGTTGTAATCACGTCGACGTATTATTCCCGCCCCGCCCAAGCCAGTCGAGCGGCCGTATAGACTACAATGTACATATAGTCGTATCATGTGTTTCGCGGAATTGATTTCTTCTCAGGATGGAGGACCATTATAACAAGTGGCATCGTTGGCGGGTCAGGCAGTGGTCAGTCACAATGCAGGTTAGATGACGGACGGGGTCGTATTTAAAGCTGGCGGGATTGGGTGGTCTCTGAGTGGATGAAATTATTCATTATATATCTGGGCATTCTGTACGACACGGATAAGTGGCCCAACTTTCTTCGCACGCGCAGTCCCGTCGCAGATGCCATACACGGAATGGAGACGCATGCTATACAGGTTCATCCAAGACTATATGTACTCCCGGCATGCTCTTCGTGTTAAGCAGTACCGATGATTGTGTATTTAAACGAAGTTCCTCCCCCGCACTGTCTTACGTTATACAAGACGGACACGGCATGGCCCCGGGGAAAGGTCTTTGAGGCGTCGGAGTTGGTGTCCAAATCTCTGAAGAGTAACGTCGTGCAGGCGGATGTAGTTTTTTTAATTGGCAATTTGCGTACTGTAATCGTGCAATTTCGTTTAAAAGCGACTCAAAATGAATGGGTTAGTGTTATTATAGGTGCATTAGTATACGAGACAACCTGTGCATTCAACGAAAGTATTAAAGTATACTTAAACAAAAAGGTTGGGGCAAGAGGTTGGGATGGAGGTGGTTGTTGGGGTGTGTGTGTGGGTGGGTGTGGGTGTGTCTGTGTGTGTGCTGTGACTTGTATGAAAAACAGAAACAAATCCTACGTCCTATGTCTTTGCTGGACACCATACAATGATGGCCCAGCGGACACGTGTGTGTTGACGTAATGACAATCTTTTAAAAAAATCCTTCTTTATTTATCTGAGGAGGTACTGCACATAATGACAAATAAACATCATATGCTTTTTATATACCAGTGATATTCTTCCATTACTGATATAATATCTGTGATTGCATCTCATTGATATTAGTGAGTGAGTCAGTGAGTTTGATTTTACGCCGCTTTTAGCATTATTCCAGCAATATCACGGCGGGGGACACCAGAAATGGGCTTCACACATTGTACCCATGTCGGGAATCGAACCCGGGTCTTCTGCGTGACGAGCGAACGCTTTAACCACTAGGCTACCCGACCGCCCCTCATTGATATTAAATTTCTGTTCCTCCTTATTCTGGGTCCTGACGGACATTATATTTTGGCCCCACATTCTATTTCATTTAATGAACGCTAGCAGACAAAACAACCTGTTAATACTAATAAATACTAATTATTGGTATAAGTGTTAAAAAAAGCATATCGATCAAGATCCGTTTATACTGTTTGTTTGTTTGTTAAACGCTGCACTCGCAACATTCCAGCTATGTGATGCGACTTGTAAATATCGATCTTCGCAATTGGGATATGATGACATGCATCAACCAAATCTGTGAGTCTGACCACCCGATCCCGTTTGTCGCCTCTTACGACAAGCAAGTGGGTTGCTGAAGACCAATTATAACCCGGATCTTCACGGGGGACAAGCATGGGTTGCTGAAGACCAGTTGTAACCGGTATTTTCACGGGGGACAAGCATGGGTTGCTGAAGACCTATTCTAACCCGGATCTTCACGGGGACTGACATTATGTTGTACTGACAGCATGCAACAAACAAGTGTTTTCAAACCTGTATGGAGTATTCGATGAGTCAGTTGCTCCTGTAACTGGTAAATGCACTTTAATAGAGCCTCTTATTTCATCGTCTGATAGCGAGGCGTACTTTCGTTAAGATCAAGTGCGATGGCCTTGTTTTGGACGTCAGGGTTCAACGCTAGATTGACAAGTTGCCTTTAATCGCCCTCAGCCCAATTTTCTTGGAACTTCTTCACCGTTACAGACCCTTGATAATGGGTCGAGTGGTCACACCTATAGCTATAAAACAGTTTCTTTTTGTAAAAGTGTGTCTGATAGTGATCTCACGTCAAGAATTGCCATTTTATGGCTATTGTCCTGCAAGTAACAATTTAGAAGTCCTTGTCGATATGTTGTCTGAATGGTGTTATGTGGCAATGTAATTTATTCTTAAACAATGATTTTAACTGTATTAGAGTTTCCGTTAAGATTCAGTAAAAGTTCATTGCATTGTATTTGGACAATGATTAGTTGTCAGGAATGTAGTACTATTTAATGTAAGTAGTTGCGAGGAAGTTATTATATTTAGATGCTAGATGTATCTATAAATTTCCGGAATAGCAGGGATGGATGTCAAGCGTTAAAAAAATATGTGGAGTATCATGTGATGTTCTAGTGACACTGGACTTGTCAAGCACTGTGTGGAAAGTTCTGGAAGCTAGTTAGACTATATACGTGGAGCGGGTGAGTGCCTGTCATCTCACATTTCATCAAGACCAGCTTTCGTGTGAAGATCACTTTTTCTCGGAAGCTTTACCACTGTTGCAGCAAATGATTATCATCCTTGCCATTGTCATTTCTACTGCTTTCACATTTTATACTACCATTGAATATTGTACTTCCTCTTTATTGTGTACTGCTATTGTAATTGCTGTCTAGTAATTGGTATTGATTTGTAAACCTAGTTCATTTGGTAAAAAAATTGTTGATTGTATACAATTTCTTGATTGCTTGTTGGTTTCATACGAGTACTAAATTCTCAGATTTCTGGGTTGACAAATTGTTTCAATTTGGGAATCGCTCGTAACAATGGAGTGACAATGGACCCTCGGCATGAGTTTTACTAAGTGGGATTTCGTTCTGAGAAAGGTTTAAGAATTCAAGAATGCCGATCGTTTTTGCACTTTTGTTTGTGTTATTAGTGAGATGGAGAGATATGACCTGAATCGTTCGACACAAGTCAAGAACGTCTAACTCATGATAATACGCCCTTTGCGACACAAATAATAATAATAATAATCATAATCATCATCATCATCATCATCATCATCATCATAATATAATGGCATTCTTACAGTAATTGACGTTTAAGACGTAATTTCACTCAGTGGAGTAACTTTCGAAACCGAGTAAGAATATTCAACGTTGAGTGTGATTTGATCTACAGCTGTAAAGCCAACACGGTCGAATCTTGAGCAGACAACCCATAGCGACTGTGAAAACATAACACAACGTTACTACAGCTGTAAAGTAAAAATGGTCGAATCTGGAGCAGACAACCCATAGCGACTGTGAAAACATAACACAACGTTACTACAGTTGTAAAGTCAAAATGGTCGAATCTGGAGCAGACAACCCATAGCGACTGTGAAAACATAACACAACGTTACTACAGCTGTAAAGTCAAAATGGTCGAATCTGGAGCAGACAACCTATAGCGACTGTGAAAACATAACACAACGTTACTACAGCTGTAAAGTCAAAATGGTCCAATCTGGAGCAGACAGCCCATAGGGACTGTGAAAACATAACACAACGTTACTACAGCTGTAAAGTCAAAATGGTCGAATCTTGAGCAGACAACCCATAGCGACTGTGAAAACATAACACAACGTTACTACAGCTGTAAAGCCAACACGGTCGAATCTGGAGCAGACAACCCATAGCGACTGTGAAAACATAACACAACGTTACTACAGCTGTAAAGTCAAAATGGTCGAATCTGGAGCAGACAACCCATAGCGACTGTGAAAACATAACACAACGTTACTACAGCTGTAAAGTCAAAAAGGGCCAATCTGGAGCAGACAGCCCATAGCGACTGTGAAAACATAACACAACGTTACTACAGCTGTAAAGTCAAAATGGTCGAATCTGGAGCAGACAACCCATAACGACTGTGAAAACATAACACAACGTTACTACAGCTGTAAAGTCAAAATGGTCGAATTTGGAGCAGACAGCCCATAGCGACTGTGAAAACATAACACAACGTTACTACAGCTGTAAAGTCAAAATGGTCGAATCTGGAGCAGACAACCCATAGCGACTGAGAAAACATAAGACAACGTTACTCCAGCTGTAAAGTCAAAATGGTCGAATCTGGAGCAGACAACCCATAGCAACTGTGAAAACATAACACAACGTTACTACAGCTGTAAAGTAAAAATGGTCGAATCTGGAGCAGACAACCCATAGCGACTGAGAAAACATAACACAACGTTACTACAGCTGTAAAGCCAACACGGTCGAATCTGGAGCAGACAGCCCATAACGACTGTGAAAACATAACACAACGTTACTACAGCTGTAAAGTCAAAATGGTCGATTCTGGAGCAGACAACCCATAGCGACTGTGAAAACATAAGAGAACGTTACTACAGCTGTAAAGTCAAAATGGTCGAATCTGGAGCAGACAACCTATAGCGACTGTGAAAACATAAGACAACGTTACTACAGCTGTAAAACAAACACGGTCGAATCTGGAGCAGACAACCCATAGCGACTGTGAAAACATAACACAACGTTACTACAGCTGTAAAGCCAACACGGTCGAATCTGGAGCAGACAGCCCATAGCGACTGTGAAAACATAACCCAACGTTACTACAGCTGTAAAACCAACACGGTCGAATCTGGAGCAGACAACCCATAGCGACTGAGAAAACATAACACAACGTTACTACAGCTGTAAAGCCAACACGGTCGAATCTGGAGCAGACAGCCCATAACGACTGTGAAAACATAACAGAACGTTACTACAGCTGTAAAGTCAAAATGGTCGATTCTGGAGCAGACAACCCATAGCGACTGTGAAAACATAAGAGAACGTTACTACAGCTGTAAAGTCAAAATGGTCGAATCTGGAGCAGACAACCTATAGCGACTGTGAAAACATAAGACAACGTTACTACAGCTGTAAAACAAACACGGTCGAATCTGGAGCAGACAACCCATAGCGACTGTGAAAACATAACACAACGTTACTACAGCTGTAAAGCCAACACGGTCGAATCTGGAGCAGACAACCCATAGCGACTGTGAAAACATAACACAACGTTACTACAGCTGTAAAACCAACACGGTCGAATCTGGAGCAGACAACCCATAGCGACTGTGAAAACATAGCACAACGTTACTACAGTTGTAAAGTCAAAATGGTCGAATCTGGAGCAGACAACCCATAGCGACTGTGAAAACATAAGAGAACGTTACTACAGCTGTCAAGTCAAATCCGTCGAATCTGGAGCAGACAACCCATATCGAATTTTGCAAGTGAGCCAGGTAAGTATGTTCTACACACGGATACATACCTTCCATACAGTGACCTCTATGTCACCCCCTGGTGACGTCCGCCCCACGGGGCAAATATCATCCAACCACCCATCACACCTAACCTGTCATTTTGGTTCTGTATCAGTGGGCGCTTTATACACCCAGGAGCTAGAGCCGCTACCATGTCTTGTAGATAAAGGCATGCCGCGTTAAGTTTGCATACTGCCGGGGACTATGCTGACGAATGGTTGAGTAGGTCGGAATCTATGTATTTAATGGCCTGTCTGGGGCTAAAGCCAGTCACGTGACCACGTTTATACAGCCGGCTATTTGGGGAGCCTCGCTATTACTACCACTGAGCTCGTTGTAAGCATTAAGAGCTATAAGTAAGTATATGTCTCCCAGCGGGTGTTGCTGTAATATTTATACCTATTGGCAATTCATCTGTGGTCACAATGCCTTTCCCGGCCCTGCCAATGTCGCGCCTGACGATCACGCTGAACATGCACGCGCATGCTGCCCCAAAACGTGATGGCAACGAGAGTCTGAACGTGAATACAATTATTCATTTGGGATGGAAGTTTGAATATAACTTTCCACGCACTGAATAGGATGTGTCGAAATTGCAAATTATATCGAGTGATAGGAGGACGGTGTGTTGTGAAATAGATGAGAGTGAGTGGTGGTGGTGGTAGGGGGTTATGGGGGAGAACAGAAGAGAGAAAGTGAGTGGAGAGGGAAGAGGGAGAGAGAGGGGAAAGGAGAGAGAGAGAGAGAACGGGGGGAGAGAAAGAGGGGAGGGAGGGAGAGAGAGAACGGGAAAGAGAGAGGGGAAAGAGAACGGGAAAGAGAGGGGAGAAAGAGAGAACAGTAGAGAGAAAGTGAGTGGAGAGGGAGAGAGAGGGGGAAAGGAGAGAGAGAGGGAAGAGAGAGAGAGGGAGGGAGGGAGGGAGAGAGAGAGGGAGTGAGGGAGAGAGAATGGGGAGAGAGAGGAGGGAAAGTGAGGGAAAAGAGAGAACGGGGTGTGAAAGAGATGGAGGAGGGAGAGAGGGGGAGAGAGAGAGAGGGGGAGGAGAGAGAGGGGGAGGGAGAGAGAAAGAGGGAGGGAGAGAGAATGAGGGAGAGAGGGGGAAAGGAGAGAGGAAGGAAAGGAGAGGGGGGAAAGGAGAGAGGGAGGAAAGGAGAGAGGGAGGAGGGAGAGAGGGGGAAAAGGAGAGAGGGAGGAAAGGAGAGAGGGAGGAAAGGAGAGAGGGGGAAAGGAGAGAGGGGGAAAGGAGACAGGGAGGAGGGAGAGAGGGAGGAAAGGAGAGAGGGGGAAAGGAGACAGGGAGAGAGGGAGGAAAGGAGAGAGGGAGGAAAGGAGAGAGGGGGAAGGAGAGGGGGAAAGGAGAGAGGGGAAAGGAGAGAGGAGAGGAGGGAGAGAGGGGGAAAGGAGAGGGGGAAAGGAGAGAGGGGGAAAGGAGAGAGGAGGAGGGAGAGAGGGGGGAAAGGAGAGAGAGGGGGAAGAAAGAGAGAGAGGGAGGGAGAGAGAGAATGGGGAGAGAGGAGGGAAAGAGAGAACGGGGTGTGAAAGAGATGGAGGAGGGAGAGAGGGGGAAAGGAGAGAGGGGGAGGGGAGAGCGGAGGGAGAGAGAGAGAGGAGGGAAAGAGGGTGAAAAGAGAGAACGGGGAGAGAAAGAGAGGGAGAAAGTGAGAGAGAGAAAGCTTTGTAATAATTGACACAAAAATGAGAGAGAGAGAGGGAAAAGAGAGAACGGGGAGAGATAGAGGGAGGAGGGATAGAGAGGGGAAAGGAGAGAGAACGTGAGGGAGAGGTAGAGAGAGCGGAGGGAGGGAGAGAGAAAGAACGGCAGGGAGGGAGATTGGGAGGGGGGGGGGGGGGGGGAGAAAGAGAGGTAGGGAGGAGGAGAGAGAGAATACAAGCAGAGAGATAAAGCTTTCGGTCATAGTGCCGAGCACCAGGCTTCAAAGATATAGGAGAGAGTATGAGTGAGTTAGTATTTTCCAATATTCCAACAAAAATGGGACACAAGAAATGTGATTCACGCTTGTATCCAATTTGGGAATAGAACCAGGGCCTTGGACGTGACGAGCAAAAGCTCGAACCACTAGGCTACTCCACCGCACTGAGAAAGACATATTAGGTAGGTGCGTGACCTAGATGTAGAGTACACAGAAGGAGTGTCAGTACAGGCTATGTCCGCATTGTCCGGAGTACAATACTTCTATGTTTACCTACTCTATCAGCTGGTCACCATCATGACCTGTGACTGACCTACGGCACGTGGTATGTCCACGTAGGTCATCTGGCCAGATGGCATGACCAGGTAGCCAGGTCAGAGATTGGCCGGTGCAACAGTGGTTTAACGGAATGCGACAAATACCACATATTATACTCATATCTTTTCGATCTATTCGGGTCAACTTTCCATGCGGGACAATATGTATGTTTTCAACGTATTTATGAGTGATCAACAGTGAAGACCCGTTAATCCGGACGGTAGATCCCCCTGTGTCCGGATTAACGAAACATGAGTACAGATAATGTCGGATATGGGAACCAAAATGTGAAAAGGGTCAGTTATGACGTAACAAGCAGATGACGTCATATGGAAACACTATGGGATATGGGGAACTTAAAATGTGAAAAGGGTCAGTTATGACGCAACAAGCAGATGACGTCATATAAAACACTATGATGTTAATTTATGATTATGATGTCCGAACAGGCCGCCGAGCGACTCGTGTGGATTTTTACAAGACTGGACATTCAGAGAGTTTGGTGTGCATATATCTATATATCTCTATCCATATAGTCAATACTGGCTCTATCCATATAGTCTACACTGCCTCTATCCATATAGTCCATACTGTCTCTATCCATATAGTCCATACTGCCTCTATCCATATAATTCATACTGCCTCTATCCATATAGTCCATACTGTCTCTATCCATATAATTCATACTGCCTCTATCCATATAGTCCATACTGTCTCTATCCATATAGTCCATACTGGCTCTATCCATATAGTCTACACTGTCTCTATCCATATAGTCTACACTGCCTCTATCCATATAGTCCATACTGTCTCTAGCCAAATAGTCCATACTGCCTCTACTCATATAGTCCATACTGCCTCTATCCATATAGTCTACACTGCCTCTATCCATATAGTCCATACTGCCTCTATCAATATAGTCCATACTGTCTCTATCCATATAGTCCATACTGTCTCTATCCATATAGTCTATATTGCCTCTATCCATATAGTCCATACTGTCTCTATCCATATAGTCAATACTGTCTCTATCCATATAGTCCATACTGTCTCTATCCATATAGTCTATACTGCCTCTATCCATATAGTCCATACTGTCTCTATCCATATAGTCAATACTGTCTCTATCCATATAGTCCATACTGTCTCTATCCATATAGTCCATACTGTCTCTATCCATATAGTCTCTATCCATATAGTCCATACTGCCTCTACTCATATAGTCCATACCGTGAGCGTGGTGGATTTACTGAGCGAGGTTTAAAAGCACAACCCTGAATTCACCTATGCGACAAGGGTGCTATTATGTACCAGATGCAGAAATCATGGATCCGGTGTCAGGGCAAAATGGTTCCCGGTGTATATCGATTGATGTTCCTTCAATGGGTCGGAACTGAACGCAGAAGCGCCCCGCCAATCACCCCGGGCGCACTTCATAGGAAAACTGACCACGACGAAAAGGTCAAAGGTCAGACATCCACCTCGACCTAATGACCCCGTGTCACTACGTCATCTTGGGCAGGTAGAGGTCATGCCAGGTCAGGTGTAGTATTGACTGGTAATTAAGTCCGGCAACATGCTTATCGACTTTTGCAGTAGCTGTTCATTGATCATAAAGACTTGGTCATTTCAGGAAATGCATTCAGAAATGTATGGAAGGCCCGTATACAATGCATGCATTATAATGTAATCATATCTCAATATTAACAATACTCTATTTGTGAAACACCTGCACATAGAAAGGCATGATTAACAATTGCGGCGACACGTTCGGAACTGTTAACTTAGCCCTTTCTGAACATTTAGGTGGAGTTGTCATTACAAAGACATCAAACTCAAAACCAGAGATTAATTAGTCTCCATTATTTGCAGAAACAGATTCCACAGAGTGTAAAACGTAAATAGTGATGAGAATACTATGAATGGATCACTGAAATGGACTGAAAATCAGTGATGACACATAAGGTGTTCGCGAAAAGGGCAAGCATGGCCTGATCTACCGGCAGCACCCTCCTCTTACCTAATTTTCACCCCAAAAAGTAAATGCTTGTTTGTTGCTTTACCCAACAATACTCCTGAATTGTTGTTTAACGCCGCACTCAGCAATATGCCAGCTATATGACGGCGCTCTGTAAATACTCCAGTCTGGACCAGACACTGCAGTGATTACATCATGAGCATCGATCCACGCAATTGGGATACGATGACATGCATCAATCAAGTCAGCGAGCCTGACCAACCGATCCCGTTAGTCGACTCTTACGACAAGCATAGTTGCCTTTTACGGCAAGCATGGGTTGCTGAAGACCTATTCTACCCCGGATCTTCACGAGTTCCATGGGCATGATGTGAGAACAAGCATCTGTCCTTGATATGACTTGTTTTGTAATAAATAAACACGTGCAACTCACTCAGCTGTTGTCAACCCTATACCTGATACACCTGTACAATCGTCACAATTTAAATTGCATTGATCATTTCTTGCTTTAGTACATTTCAATTAGTAATCCCATGCACCTGTTGTATTCTTTATTCATTGTCTATGCAATCGTATTGTCATGGATCTATAACAGTAAATCTGTTACTTGACTTTGTCACTCGCTATCTCGAATGTTCGGATATCTCGAAGTTACAATATATATCACTGTACGGTACGTGTATCGTGTTCCATGCAAACAAAAGTATGCACCACTGTTTAGTGGTGGCTAAAAACGAAACAAACAAGCAATGGCTATTCGATGGTGATGTATTTGATTCAGTCTCGCTAAATACAATGTTTATTCCTAATACAGCATATTTACCATCCCCAAACACACTCCCATGATAACCCCTATATGCTACATAAGAACGTGCATCAGCCAAGTCAGCGAGCCTGACCAACCGATCCCGTTCGTCGCCTTTTAC